TAATCTGTAATTATTTTATGTTTATATGTTTACTTATTTTCTCTTCTTCTAATGAGCATGCGAGCTCCATGAAGGGACGAACTTTGTGTCTTCGTCGCTTGTTTATCCCCTGCATCTAGTGTAATGCTTGGCACATAAGAGGCATCCAGTGACTCTTTCCTGAGTACATGCAAGAGTGAATGGATGGAGGAATGAATGGGCTTCTTGAAAATAGCATGAAAAGATTGAACATGAGTGGCAACCCTTGAATCCTTCCTTATATCTCAGTATTATAAGATTATCAGTAAAAAAGTAAAAGTGTGAACATTTCATGCTTTAAACAAACACTTGACAGTTTCAATTAAGCAAATGCATGGTAATTCATACTAATTGATTGGACAATTTAATTTCCATGTTTTAACCAGGTATTAGGTAGTTTCAGGTAAATTAATGAATGTTTCTTCATAGTGATTCAGTGTTTTTCTAAAAAAGAAGGCTGCTTTCTGAAAGATAAAAACCTGACCTTTGGAACTTACCAGGCAAGCTCTGCTAAGGATGTAGACATTTTCCCACCCCAGTGGGGGTGAGAGAGGACGAGGATAGGAGACCAGTATTACAATGTATTGGTCCAATCATGTATAAAATACTATTGTTTTCTAAACATTTTGTTTTGTGCTAATTGGAATTTTTCAGTCTCTCAGTGTTTAGTGACATCTAAACTTCATTTTCCTAAAGACTGAAATGAAATTGACCAACATCAGTCATCCTCTCTGTCCAATTTGTTCTATAAATAGTTGCAGATAAGATGGAGAAATGTTGGCAGCAAATGTGGATTTGCAGCAGATTTGCTTTTTCAAGTTTTGTTGAGTACGCCTTAAAGCTCCCATTCCCTATAGATGCTTTAGCCCGACACATTTGAATACAGAAATAAAAACCTAGGTATAATTATTTCTTTTCCTGGGAAAGTCTTTTAAACTGATCATTTAAAAAGCTAATACCAAAGGTCTAAACAAATAAAAAAATTATTTTCCTGTGAAACGAATCCCTACTCATACTAATGAGAAAGAGGAGTTTTCTGTTAAAATTTACAAAAGGCTTTGGTTTTGTTAACTTTTTTTTTTTTGGAATTTCAGTGCTTTTGTTTTTAAAATTTAGATGTAGTTTAGGAATTATAAATCCTGATACTTGTTTAAAACTGTCAAGAAATGGAAGTTTGGTGCATAGACAAGCTTGGTCAGTGCTTGTGAAACTTTTTAAGTCTTTGTAAATCAAAGAAAGTAGAACCGATCAGGTCTTGGCAGGACTTGTCAGAGTGGCTTCAGTGAGTCCACTGGTATGAAAGCAGATGCAGGATAATGCAGATAATACAGAAGATGGGCAGTCCAGGACTTGGGACGCCATTTTAATGAAACAGTAAGGACAGGTTAAATGACAGTATAGTTGGTATCAGAATTTAACTTCACTAGCAGAGAGAGTTTAACAATTTCTGTGTAGTTCTGGTAGCAATGGCTGAGAAATGTCTTTGAAGAGGACGCTTAGAAGGATGAAGAGTGATGGTTTACAGAAGGCAGTTCTCTGATGCACCTCTTTTCAGGCTCCCAGCTTTAATCACTCAACAACTTCACATGATCAGATATGTCATATCATTCTAATGATCCAAGGGCTGTGGTTGGTATGAACTATTGCTGTCACCCTTGAGTAGGAAAGGCTGCCCGTATACCAGCTGCACTGCAGAATTGGATTTCGGAAAAGGTCTTATTAATCAATTTGCAAATGGAATTAGAGAGATGTGGAGCCAGACTATCGCTCTACAAGTAATTGCTATAAACAGGAAAGAGTTAATGTGTTCCAACCATGAAGATCATTAATTAACTGCAGTCTGAAAGAGTTATAAAGGCTACTTATTTTGGAACATGAACTCTTCAAAGAGAAAGGGGAGGAGCTAAACCCATGTTAGGTATTTTACTTATTTGTTTATGCCTCGAGTGAATAAATGGTGCTGGAGTCAGCATACATAATTAAAATAAGTGTGTCTTGAACAGTAGTCGTCCGAGCAGAAATGTTTATTAAACACTAGAGGACTAAGTGGTTTACAGTTAAATCACAAATAACCTACTTCTGAATTCCCACATGATCTATATCTATATTTATTTTAAAAACTGAATTTCGAGTTCTAATACTGTATCATGTTTCTTTTCCAGATGTTTTCTCTCAAATATAATTAAGTATAAATTCCTGTAACCTGAGCACATTCTCATTATGATTTTTGCTCAAGTACTGACTTCATGGATGATTTATGACCGTTATACTCTACAATAAGTGATTTAAAGCTTCCAAAAGATTTGGCAGACTAAAGAGATAATATATACATATTTTTCATATTTAGTCACAAATATTTACCAATATGNGGCTCTGAGGGCTGGCCATGACTATAGTGGACAAGCTGTTGTTCAGAAGCTGACCCTGCAGAATTGGAGTTGTTTTAGTAGGGCTCTGATGCCAGATGAGTCCACCCTTTGGGTATGTCATTTGTAGAGCCTGTTAAGTGGTGGTGCTATGTAGGGGTCTGAAGCCGAACACCAGTTAATGTTGGTTCTAGAGGCTCTTGGGAGGATCTCTGGTGCAGGACAACGTCAGCCACCATTTCTGCCTAGCTTGGGGACACCTAGTGAGGCTACAAAGTGATCTGTGGTTGGTTGCTGCTTGTGCTGGACTTGGATATATGTACTTGAGAGAGGCTATGCAATGAACCGACTCCTGCTGCTGCTAATGCCTGGCTTTGGACCCTTTGTTGAATACCACACTGTGAGCCGAGGCCAGTTACCTGCGTGCTGGTTTTGTGGCTACTTAGTTGAAGCTATGTTCCAGGCCAACACGGGCCACCATGCCATGCTTGGAGCCACCTGATTGGAGTTACAATGCTAGTTAAGACTGATTGCTTCTTGTTCTGGGCTTTGGGCAGCTTAGCAAGTGAAAGAGGACACACTGAGGTCAGCCACTGCTTTTTTGGGATTTGTGGACCTTTGAGATATTTTAGGAAAATTTGCAGTGCAGCAAAGGTAGGCTGCTTGTGTGAAAAAGCTGATTGAAGCATCTTGGGCAGGCGAGTGTGCTGGGTGGGGCAGGGTCTCAGGGAATCACCAGGACAGTGCGAATGGTGTTAGCCAGGTTAGTGGAGAGCTTAGATTTGTCACCTGCCTGCACCTGTGTGACATAGCTTAGTCATTAAGAACTCAAGTATTAGAGTCAGACAGTTCTGGGTTCAAGTAATTACTGATACTATTGGCTGTGGATAAGATGCTTTTTCATGCTAACACTTATGGAAATTATGTTACCTACTTCATAGTTGTTGCTCTGAGGCTTTAATGATTTAATATTTGTAAAAGGCTCAGCACTGTGCCTGTCATATAGTAAATTTTCAGACAAAGCTAATTATTACTATATTTATTCATTCAACGTGTATTAACTAAATGTTTACTATGTGCCAAACCCTATGCTAAGCACTGGGACATAATGGCAAAGAAGATATACATAGTCTCACAGATCTCACAGTTAAGTGGAATGTAAACTACTAAAAAGGTGCTTCAATACTGGTGGTTCATTGGTCTGTGAGAACACAAGGGAAGGATTGTTAACTCATTCCACCTTGGTACTGGGGCAGTTTCTCCGAGGAAGTGACCTCTAATTTGAGATGGTCAGTCCTGGCCAAAATAGCAACAATGTTATGAAATGTGTGAGAGATATTACTTATCTGTTCTAGCATAGTTTTATCTTGTTTATAAAGAGCAGCAGTACATATCTTAAACTCTCTGTGTACCCTCATGATTATGAACCAAATTCTTTTGGACTAACAGTTACCAAGGATGCAGAGCTGCCACCTGGTGACAGAAAATCTCATTGCACATCCCTTACAATTTGATGAGTTAGATGTTTTACCAAGCTTGTCCAAATGGGATGGGTTGAACTTGTTGATATTAACAGCTTTTTCTTTCTCTGTTTTATGAATATTTAAATTGTCTTAGTCTGTTTGTCATAGGTCCCAAGTTCCAGATTTAGTGTAGCGTTATAGACCCCATGTTTTATCTGTACTTTATGATATTTTCTGAAAATTTGACTGGTAGAGTCCCCTGAGGGAAGCTTACTTATTATTTAAAAAAGCAATGGCTCTTATAGTGAAGGTGCAAATAGTAAAAATGAAAATTCTGATAAAAGATACTGATTGAGTGATATCTAATGGTGATAACATTTTCTTTGGAAAAATTTAGTCCAGTTTTGATGAGATAGGTGTCTTCTCCTGGGTAGTAGGTTTTTCCTAAAAGAAATCAGTAAATTGGAATAACATCAAATTT